CCTCTGTGGTGTTAAGATTTCCACTTTCAGGTCCCTACTATAAAGTTATCAATTGCCTTCGAATGTAAGGCAATTCCCACCCTTTACAACTGTAGAAAATGTGCCATTTGGAGCAGGGGACCAGGAATCACAGTGAAACATCATTTAAAGGAAAAATATGATAGAGTTATGATTTCTAGGAAAATTTAAAGACATATTTGGAAGAGGAGAGGGGTAGGAAGGGACAGTGGAGGGCTAAGGAAAGAAGAGGAGGGGAACAAGAATACAATGAGGACATAAAATAGGCAAGGGAGTCTCATTCATGTTCCTTAGCTGCATTTGGAAAGCTAGAAAGAAAATCCTGTTTAAATGCCGCTGGACTCAGTCTGGGGTTCTCTTTTCAGGGTCATAGTGTCTCTAAGTTGACCTTTAGGTGCTCACTTAAGGATAACAGAAAAAAGCAAGTATGAAATCTTTATCTTGCTCAGGCTACAGCCTGGGATCTAATTATCCTGCATGTGTGTTAAGGTTCATGCAAGAAAGTCACTGTAACCACTGAGGTGGCTTACTTTCCCGAGCTAGCCATGCTCCCTGTGGATGTTTGGGGGAGCAAAGGAAATGTTTCACTAGTGGGGCCTTTCCTCATGGAGAAATTCAACACCTCCCCCCGCAGCAGTGTGTCATTCTGGCTCCTGAATTTGTGGTCAAGTGTGTAACTGCTAGATGGGAGAAAAGATAGGCTTACTGGTGCCCAAGCTGTGCATCATCTTTGCACTTTTCCATGACCATATCTGGGTTAATACTAGGAAGAAAATGGAAATCTATTCTCTTCCTCTCATCCCCCCCCCCCCAAAAATTATGAGTCTTCAAGAGCACGTTTTCATTATGTTTTAGGTCAAAAGTTTGTGGCATGCCTTAAAAAGAAAAAGATTTCTTCAATAATTGTCAATATCTTTTAGGTATTCTTTAAATGAGAAACTAACAGCAATTATAAAATTTTGATTATATATTCCTTTATTCTGAAAGTTGCCTCCTTTAAGGTGGCAGGCAGATAGATCGTTTAGATAGCCAAAATTCATTTAAATACGAATGTAAATTACATCTCTCATGTCTGGGTTTCGTTTATTTTTTTAAAACACAGGAAAAACAAATAGCCCTAGATAGATCTCTACTGAAGGCTTCGTTATTTAAAACCATATATCGGATAGGATTTTTTTTTAGAATGGTGTGAATAACCAAATTCAAAATGTCACTCCCTCGTTTTGACACCCCAAAGCTCCAGGGGCTCCTTAACCAGTATCCCGTACTAAACAGAGCGGGTGGGGGGGGGGACGGGAGGAGGGATCGTGGTTCCAAGGAACAAAGAGCAAATACAGTGGATCCATTCCATAACGTTGATCCCCCCACCCAGCTTTGGTTTTCTCTCCAAAGCAGTGACCTGGGCAAAGCACCCAGCTATCTAAAAGACACTGTATAGACCTTTGGGAACAGCTAAGTCCAAGGCCGAGGTGAACTTCAGGTCAGCGCGTCTAACAAATATGAAAATGTCGGCTGGTGAAGGGCGCGCCTTGTTATTTAACAAAGACTGTCAATGTGTGAGATTAATAAGAAACAAAATGCACATGGTGTCACTTTTCGGTCACTTTGAAAGTTGGGACAGGGCTGTATTCAGGAGGAAAGGCTGATCCAAATATATTCAAAATGATTCAAATCAGATTCAAACGAGACTGAAAATGCAGTTCTCCTTTCCCTCCCTCTCTCCATCCTCTGCCTATTCCCCCTCTCTTCCTCTGTCGGTTTCCTTCCTTGCTTGCTTTTTTCCTTTCTTCCCTTTCTCTCTCTTTCACTTCCCCCTCCCTAACCCCCCCCCCCCCCCAATTATGGTGCTTAGATTCAGTGGAAAGTTATTTTACTTAATGGGATTTAAAGAAATCTTTTGTTGTACATGTATTTTATCTGAGCACGTGGAATGAGCAGATGTGCTTACATGTTTTACAAAGAAGGGAAAACCCCTTTTCACTACTTGGAATTGGATGCAGTTGGTATATGAAGATTAGACCTCTCCATTTCTGCTTCATTTCAGTGAATTCCATTCTCTTCTCAGGAGAGATACTGCTGGTAAACTTTTGGTTGTTCTATTAGTTGGGTTAGTGTCTTCCCATGTTTGCTATGGTATCACATTTCTTGGGATAAAAGGTGTTTTAATTTTTACAATATAGATCTCTGTGATTTAATTTGGTTGAATGAATCTGTTTTGCAAAGGGAGGTTCTGGTCGGATCAGAAGAGGTACCGAGGTTGTTTATTGCAGCCATAAATCTCGCTTTAAAATGTCAAAATGTCGGTGTCTGAGATAACACTTGGTGGTCTTGGCCGAGTTTTTGTTTATGATAGCAAACCACTAAGACAAGTTACAGGCCTTAGGAGATCCCGAAGAAGCCCATCTCCACCAAGTAACAGAGCCACGTGAATAACAGACTGATTCAGCTCGCCGGTTTAGGCCGACTAGACACAAAACAGCTCTGCTTTCTTTTTAACCTCTAAAAATAGCAACATCGTAGAAAGCTCTGCAGTTAAACAACATGAATTTTGCATTTTAATACCGGTAAATCATAGTAAACAGACATAGAAAAAGCCTAGGAAGGCAGGGTTGATGACAAGAGCAAAGATGTGAGATTTCGTGGTGTATTTCTGGCGGATGGACCCTGTGATTCTGTTTACCGGACTGCCTGCCTGCCTTTCACTGCTAGAGGCCATCACCGAGAACACAGACCGGCTTTTTTTTGAGAGCTTGTGGGGAAATCTGTAAATATTTGATTAGGTGTTATTTTATACATATATACATACACGTGTGTATATGTATATGTATACAAGTGTGTGATTAATTCCCTTGGGTTTTATTTTAAATGGTCTTTGCACCCGGTGCAAGCAAGGCTCTTTTCTTGTCTATTTCTCTGTGCTTTTCCTGGCTGCCTACCCAAGGCCCTAAGTAGAAAATAGTTTCAAAACCTCTTTTTTTGCAGATCTGGGAGATCCTAGAGAGAAAGCCAAAAAGATCCCTTTCTTTAGCCTCTTTTCCTAAATTAGTTTATAGACTAGTTGGATATAATAGGCTTTATGTGGCTAAGCATTAAACGACTATCCGTCAAAACGATTTATTTCAACATTCAGTAACTCATGTGCGTAACTGATATAAATGGACAGAGAAATGACATTCCTTCTGAAGTGTCGCTGGGCTTTAGGCTATAACTTTCTATGTCTACCTTGGCAGCCCAGGCTGGGAGGAAGCTTTTCTTCGTAATGCCCTTTGAGAAACTCAATTAAGGTACCCCTTCCGGAAAATCCTGGCCTCGCCCTGTCTTTGTAGATAACCGTTTGTTCTCGATTTCTGGGGGAATCGAATGGTCTGCCTGGATGGTCAGGCAGGCAGGTGAAGAGAGGAGGAGGAGAAGAGGAAGGGACAGGGGACATGAAATGGAGAGAAGAGGGAGAGGAAAGGAGAGAAGAGAAGAGGAGGGGAGAAGAGAGGAAGGGAGAGGAGAGGAAAGAAAGGAAGGGAAGGTGAGAGGAGAGAAGGGGAGAAGAGAGGAGAAGAGAGGAGGGGGGAGAGGAAGAGAAAGCAAGGTGTATGCCTGACCCAGAGAAGGAAAGAGAAAGTAAACACGAACACATGGAGAAAAGCAGCTTTACTATTTACTTCCAAGATCAACACTGGGTGGAATTAATAAGTAATTTATTTGTTAATAGTGCGGTAATTAGTTTAACCATCAAATTTCAATTACCCTGTGGCAGGCTTCAGCCTCTCCCCCAATCCCGTACCCTGCTTGAGGCACACGTCAATTCTCAGCCTGACCTGCAGATAGAGTCCAGGCCGCCTGCCTTGCCCTCCCAGCTTTCAGAAGGGAAGGCAGTGATTTTCAGGGATGGGGGCTGTCCACTGTTCTTCCATGGGGACCTCCAGTGGGGGAATCCTTCCTGTTTCTTCCATCCGCTGCCCAAACCCACACAGACACAGTCACACACAGGAGGCCCTGTCCTCAGTGGGCTGAGGTCACTCTCCAGCTCCAGCCCCAGCCCCAGATTCCTCTCCTCAGCCTAGCCTCAGCCTAGGCTCCCTCTGCTCCATCTCATGCCTGGGGAAGGACAAAGATGACTCAGGGATCTGGGGTCACAAGTCCAGGTGAGACTCCTCAGGTGTTAGGACCCATGTGGGGGAAAGGGACACCAGGACAGTAAGGGACACCCACGTGTATGGAAGGATAAAGGGCTGTGAGGGACCTAAAAGGGGAAGGGGTTGCGACTCGCTCGTCTGTGGATGGGGAAGGGCTCGAGGACCTCGGTGTGTGTGGGTGTGGTGGTCGACTAGGGGCGAGGGACAAGGGACTGGATGGGAAAGGAAGGTTGGACCCGCGTGTGGGGTAGAGATGAGGGACCTCTGCTTATGGAGGAGGGGGCGTGAGAAACTGCTTGGGGAGGGAGAGGGGAGCTAGGACCTCTGTGCCTGGGGGGCGGGGGGCAGCAGGGGACGTTGGCTGGGGGCTGCGGAGAAAAGACCGGTTTTGGGGGGCGGGGGACTGGACGAGGCCGAGCCCTCTGCGCTGGTCGCGGCCCCCCATCTCCAGCCCGAGGACGCAGCCATTCCTCTCCCTCCCTCCCCAGAATAGCGCGGGGCGAGCACCCCCGCTGACCGCCCTCCCCCAAGCCTAAGACCCGGGCATCCATCATCCAACCCCGAGTTTCCTGATCCGGGGCCCGCGCGCGCCGAGCCTCCATTGGCCAGCAGAGGGTCACGTGCGGGAAGATCGGGGGGGGGCCCGAAGGTGCGGAGGGGGAGGGGCGGGGGAGGGGACGGGGCCCGAACTTTGTCCTCCGCAGCAGCGCCGGGGGAGGGGAGGGTGCGGGAAGGGGGAGGAGAGGCATTTGGGGGACTGGGGAGGGAGAAGAGAGGAAGAGGGAGGAGGGGGGGCCAAGGGAGGATGGGGAACGAGGCAGGAGGGGGAGGGGCCTCCGCGAGCCCAGAAAAACGACAACGCGAGAAAAATTAGTATTTTTGCACTTCACAAATTAATGACCATGAGCTCGTTTTTGATAAACTCCAACTACATCGAGCCCAAGTTCCCGCCCTGCGAGGAGTTCGGGGCGCCCGGCGGCCCTGACGGGGGAGTCTACCCCCCACCCCCGCAGCCCCCGCAGCCCCCGCAGCCCCCGCCGTCCCCGCACCTGCAGCCGCCCGCGGGGGCCGGCCGCTCGCCCCCGGGTTACTACCGCCCGCCGCGGCCCGGGCCAGGGTCGGGGTACCCGGCGCCAGCGCCCCCCGCCGCCCTCTACCCCGCGCCCCCCGCCGCCGCCGCCCGCTACCCGTATGGCTACGGCCGCGCCAGCCCGGGCCGGCCCCGGCACGAGCAGCCCCCGCCCCCGCCGCCCCCGGCCCGAGGGTCCGCGGCCGCCCCCGCCGGACAGAGCCTGCTCGTGGCGGGCCACGTCCTGCCGCCCCCGCAGCCCCAGCCGCACCCCGCTCCCCCTCCGCCCCCACCTCCCCCGGCGCTCCCCCGTCGCAGCGAGGCCGCCCCCGCCGCCTCGGGCAGCCCCCCGGGGTGCCCCCTGCCCCTGGCGGACAAGAGCCTGTGCGGCCTCAAGGGCGGCAAGGAGCCCGTGGTGTACCCCGGGATGAAAAAGATCCATGTCAGCACCGGTGAGCGACGCCTGGGCCGCGGCGAGGGAGGGGGGCGAGGGCCTGGGGGGCCTGGGGCAGGAGGGGGGACCTGCTGTCCTGGCAGCGGAGGAGGGGGTCACTGTGTGCCACCTAATCAAAACGTGAGAAACCTTTTGTATCTGGGGTCCCTTTATCGGGAGATTTACGAGACGCCAAACTGTTAGGGCAGTAATTATAGCCCCCATAAATTGAATTGCCCTGGCAGCGGCTCTGGGCCATGTGTCTTTGAAGCTTTTCTTCAGCCCCAATGCCCAACACCATTTTTTATGGCTCTCGCTTGTTTTCCGTTGTCAATAGCCTGTGAAACATTTTCTTTGCCGTATGTATTCTTACGTGAACTTGGTGTCAGGTTATTATATAATGATCTTATCCAATTGCTCTCCCCCCCTCCTCTTCCTCCTCTTCCTCCTTCTCCTCTTCTTCCTCCTCCGCCTTCTCCTGGGCCCTGCACGTTCAGTCAACCCCAATTACAACGGAGGGGAACCCAAACGCTCCCGCACCGCCTACACCAGGCAGCAGGTCTTGGAGCTGGAGAAGGAGTTTCATTTTAACCGTTACCTGACCCGGCGGCGTCGCATCGAGATCGCTCACACGCTCTGCCTCTCCGAGCGCCAGGTCAAGATCTGGTTCCAAAATCGCAGGATGAAGTGGAAGAAGGACCACAAACTACCCAATACCAAGATGCGCTCCTCGGCCCCGGCCCCGGGGAGCCAGCCCTCCAAGGCACAGACTCAGGGCCCGCATCTTCACCCTCGCCACCAGCCAGGTGCCTCCACACCCAACTCTTCTACGCTATAATCGTCCACATCCCCAGATCGATTTTAACCCCCCTCTGCTTCTTCCTTTCTTCTTCTGCCCCTCTTTCTTCCCCACCCCCACCTTCTGTCTGGACCAAAAATAAACACCAACACAATCCCCAACTGCGTGTTTGTAAATAATAAAGATGAGAGAGAGAAAGAGAGAAGACACTATCTCCGTGTGGCAGAGAACAGGTTGTCATCCGGCTCCGGACCACTAGATCAGGCACAGGCTGGCAAGCCTACCAGTGGGATTGTTTATTTATGGAAATGCTCACAGAGCTGGGATGGGAAGTTTGGTACCTAACTAAGAAGGACTCCTTTGTATGCAGTATTTTTTAAATAGTTAAAATAAACAGTCCCATCCAGTGGTGACTTGAGTTGTGCAGTTCTCGGGAAATGTCCATCTACATCTAGTGCAAACAAAAGAACCAGGCCCCTCCTCCCTCCTATCTTGTGTCCTCCCCCCCCCCCCCACCACCCCCTGCCAAAACTGATACTGAAGAGAAAAGAGGAGACGACATTTGGAATGTCATAAGGTTATTTAACTGGTCTCCAGGTGTATAGTCCCTGATGATATTTGTGACACATTAGTTTCTCTTTATCTCATTTATTTAAAATATTGTTAGAGGTTTATTGTTGTCTTACTCTCTGGCCCAGCTCTAACTGGCAAGAGGGGGCCCATTTAGATCCACGTGAGACTGTAAATTGTGGGTTTTGGTGTAACTGTATATCGAGCCAAGTGCTGAGAATTAATCTTGTAAAACAACAACAAACCATGATATTAAAAGCTTAAAACAACTGTTTCTCGTGTTTCCTAAACTGTCTGATGAGGAAGACACATTCTCAAATCGTGATGAGCAACTAATTTGAAAAAGAAGGGGGTCTTCTGTCTAATGAAATGGTGGTCGCCCAAATCGTTTGTGCTAAGTCTCCGACTTGAGCGAGAGATAGAAAGAGACAAACAACAGAGAAGCAGAGCCAGGAAGAGACATACTGACCAAGAGAAACAGAGACAGACAAGAGAGAGGGAGGGAGGGAGGGAAGGAGGGAGAGAGAGAGAGACAGAGACAGAGACAGAGACAGAGACAGAGAGGGAGGGAGAGAGAGAGAGAGAGAGAGAGAGAGAGAGAGAGAGAGAGAGAGAGAGAGAGAGAGAGAGAGAGAGAGAGAGAGAGAGAGAGAGAGAGAGAGAGAGAGAGAAACCCTGAGCTTTTGCTCTCTGACTGGCCTGAAGGATTGCAAAGTTGAAAGGAAAAAGGAGGGTGTTAAACCTTGCTGCAAACATGCCTGTTCTTTGGCATAGGGTTAATTCTTTTCTGTGGCCATAGGGCTAGGTATAGAAAAGGGCTTATGGCTCCCAGCAGCTGTTTTGCCCTGGTCAAACCACACACAACCATAATGACACTTGAAAGTAAGTAGTCATTTTTAATATTTATTGCTGTACAAAGCTTTTCTTAGGAGTCAGGATGGGCGAGGGAGGGAAGCTGACTCTTTTTAAAAAAAATCTGTGAGCTAAATCCTGATTTGTGATTTTTGGAGGGAGAGGGGGTGGTTTGGAAAAGAGTTAAATTCAATTCTCCAGTATGTGTGCCTCAAAAGTTTTGGCCCAGAAGGATGTGCAGATGATGTCATAAAGAGGTTGCTATCTCAATAGTAGTCAGCCCCCAAGATTGTAAGAGTCCCGGGTGCCACTTTTGATTCTGGGGAGCTTTGCCTCATTTCACTGCCTGTAGTTCGGGACAATTAGAATATTACATTACAAAAAGAATGGGGTGGGTGAGGACCAACCATCCAACCTGGCGAGCAATCCCTGGTCCATCTTCCTAATGCCTGAGACTTGTTTCTCGGATATAGTAACTCCTTCTGCAATATGAAAGGGAAAGTACATTAGCATCAGAGTATCGTAGAATTCTTTGCGTGTTCAATGAGTGATAGACTTTTAATGAAAAATTTTGAGCAGAGCCTGGGGTGGTGGTGGTGGTGGTAGAAAACCTCTTCAGAATTAGACTAGAGGCATTTTTAAGACACTCGCCCATCAGTAGTTAAAACACTTAACTAATATGCAGGAAAGCTATGTTTCTTTTTCATGCTGCCATTTGTTAAAAGCGAATTCTGCCAGCTCTTTAATTATGAACGAAATAGATCTGAGAATGAGACAACAGTCCCTATTGCTCAGAGCAGCTTCAATATCTCTGCCATTAAAAAAAAAGTCTTGCCACTAAAAATTGGGGAGGAACAAATAAACACATTCAGAAGTCATCCAAAGTCCTGAAGTGAGCCGTGTTTTATAAGATGTGAACAGGAGGCTCTGGGTTTCTCTAAACCTGGGGCATAAACTTATTATTCCCCTCCCCCAACTTGTAAAACGAAATTAAATCACACTGAAAATAGCAATTTTGCCAGGAATCATTAATCACTTCATACAATAAATACTTCTTTGTAATTCAACAGCAATTCTGAAAGGCATTCTCCTGGAAAAGTCTGTGGAGGAGCAAAGGATGTCCCTGGAAAAAATGTGGTCATATATAAAGATGGAAAATCTTGGCTGTCTCCTAAAAAAATGCAGACTCTCGGTGGAAACGAAGTGCTGGCTGCTAAGTCTCTTATGGCAGATTATCATCATATAAGGTAAATGTTCATATTTACCCTTTGTGTTCTGAGGCTGGGAGATGTCTAGAAATTAACAGGCGTTGGTGTGTGTGTGTGTGTGTGTGTGTGTGCATGCGAGTGTGTGTGTTGTGTTTTGGGGGGCTCTTTGGTGGAATATCTAGCTACACCCTGAAAATGAGGTGGAGTGTTGAGACCATTTTTAAAGATAAGGACTTTGAGCTGAAATGCCTGGATAATTAAGTTCAACGTGGACTTTTTAAAAATTCGAATTACCTGGATAATTATCTCCATTCGACACTTCTCTTAAGCCTATTGTAGACCTGGTCCTTCGAACCAGAATGTTAGAACAACTTAGGAAATTTCGCTTTGGGGTGTAAGTCTTTGCATTGTCCTTCTTTTGCTAGGGCAACCATAAGAGGTCACTGAAAGGACAAATTTTCTATCCCATTAATTGTTTTTTTAAGAGAAGCCCATTGGCCCTGGGGACCCTTGACCTTTAAAGATAGTATTCTATGTAAGCCCTGGAGCTCTCTTCTCTCTCCAAATATCCTCAGAGTCTCAGAATCTCTCTGGGTCGCTCTGGTTCTGCCTCTGTCTCTCTGTCTCTCTCTGTCTCTCTGTCTTTGTCTCTACACACACACACACACACACACACACACACACACACACTCATCTGCTTTAGTCACAGAGGAAGCCATAGAACATCAGAGCTAAAAGTTTTGTCAACATCTGAAATCAACCTAATTTGGTTCAGAGACACTTTAATTGTCACAGTGTGAAGCAAGTGCTTAACACTCTCCCCCCTGAAGGAAAATGGCAGCTTGCAAGCTCTCTTTCCTAGTTTTTGCTGAAATCTATGATATACCCGGTGTTTTATTACAGAAGGAATTCAACTGTGACAGTCAGAGTACAGTACTTAATACCCAGAATAGAGCTCCATGGGCAGATTACCTAGATATATTACAGTTGGGGTGGGTGGGTGGGTGAAGCGAGCCCTGTATATAGCTTCCTGAATTTTATACGTGGGGAGCTCCTGGGGGTTTTCTTCATTCTTCCTACCTCAAACCTCCTTCATAGTTCTGGCCTGTCTCCTATTAGCATCCTCCTCACTCCCTTTCCTTCTTACTCTCCTTCCCCTTGCAACCTCAGAGCTGTTTCCTACCCTTCAGTCCTTGTATCATTTCATTCCAGTAATTACAATGAGGAAACAGATATGACTCAATTTAAAATATAATTATAAAGTAACCTTTGAAGGCTCAATAAAGAAAATAGGGACCTCAGGTTTCCTATGGAAAGGAGTGAACTCTATTGAGCCAGTGGGTTTGCTTTTCCTGATCCCGTCATGATGTTTTTGGTAGACATTTTTTAAAAATTTAAAACACTACACACACACACACACACACACACACGCACACACACCCAGAGGCCTAATCTACGCCCCTCCCCCTTACTACTGGTCTAAAAACAATTATACCAGCCATTTCGATAAATTTCTGGTCTTCCAGCACTTGAATATTGGGGGAGATGTATGATTTCTTGTTCCTTCGGAATGCAAGGCAGATTATTTTATGGAGGCTTGAGACTGATCCCAGCACCTAGTCACATTCTGCAGGGCTGGAAGATGTTATGCGGAGCTCAGAGCAAATGTATCAAATGCATGACATGGCTCTCATTCAGTAACTAAGGGAAAAAGAGGCTGAGGCAAGACTCACTCTACAGCTGGAGAGCCACATAACAATGAACTCAGCTCATGTCCAGCCTTCAAATTAATGGCTGATTTTACCCCTGCCCCCATTTTCGTGGCATTAATAACAGCCTGAAAAGAAGTCAGTAGTGATTTCTGCATCTCTCTGTATAGGTGTGATGTGTCTGTGGAAGCACACATCTCTACACACGTGTCCTTTGTCTGACAGCACACAAGTATGTCAGCATGTGTGTGTATATGTCTGGCCTATTTGTGCAGAAATCTACATTCAAAATGGTCAAGTCCTAGAGAGTCGTTCTTTCCAGGCACCAGGGCAGCTAAGCCAAGTAACAACATAACGTGACCTTCCTGGGCATGCTGGACCCAAAGGTTCCTGGATGAAGATCATGCATAGGAGGCAACCTAAGAAGCCTGAGCTGTTAAGGCTATTCGCCCAGAATCTCCATCAGGATTCAAAGGACTCAGATTGTGCCTAAAAAGGAGGCAGCTCTCTGATTATGGCCGGTTGCTCACTCAAGACAGACCGGGGGGAAAGTTGCTCTAAGTCCCAGAGATCTGGAGGCTGCTAAGAAAGCAAAAATGAAAGTGCTGTGCTCACAGAGAAAGGTGTTGCCTCTGTTCTGGGGGTGATATTGAAATGGTAAGCTTTGGAGTGTCACGTGACTCATTAAATAATTAATGCAGACAGGCAAGAATGAATCTGTGGTCGTCAGTATCTCACTCACTAGGAATGATACTCTCAGAAGTGAAACCCAACTTCCTAGTTGATAGATTTCCAAATATATATTTTAAATTCACACTCAGATTTATCTGGAAAGACTTTAAACTCTTTAAGAGGGGGCAATAGGGATTCTGCCGGTGAGTATGGAGGGATCAAGCTGGCTTCATTCTCATTTGACCATTCCGAAGATATTTTATCGTGAATCGGATGAGGAAGTAGCAGATCACGGGTGGATGGGGGTGGGGGTGGGGGGGCAGGATCAGTTCTTTGGCTTTGGGTGTCTCGTGGTGGTCACATTCTCCCTTTTGTGTTGGAATGGGCTGCTTACTTTTGGTAATGTTCTGATTTACTCTGTAGACCACTGGCTGCCACAGAGCAGGAGCTCTTTGTCCCGTTTTCCTGGAGCTAATAAATCACAGCCCACAGGAGCAGGGCCAAAAAATAAAGCCAGTTCCTAATTCTGAGGGCTTGGGTCAAGGGGAGGAGAGGAGAAGGGGGGAGGAGAGAGAGAGAGAGAGAGAGAGAGAGAGAGAGAGAGAGAGAGAGAG